ATATTCACAAATAAAAACAGGGACAGAAGGGACCAAACTAGAAATGAATATTAAAAAAACTAAAACAGGCAACAGCTAGGGGAAAAATTCACATATCTGGGAGTTGCATTAAACACAGATGGAATACAACAACCAGAAATTCAAGGAAGCTCCGCTCCAATAACACACACGGGAGATGAAAAAACAGGGTCTACAAAACTTATTATCAGACCAATAGCGGATTACGGATGACATGGGTGATGACAGAAGACACAACACGAAAGCTGGAAGTGTTTGAGAGAAAAGTCCTAAGAAAGATATTTTGACCTATTAGCAAAAACGGAGTATGGAGATTCAGGTACAACCATGAACTTTACCAAGTGTTCAAAGAGACACCGATCTCAGAATTCTTAAAATTTCAGAGACTTCGATGGGCTCGTCATGTAGTGAGAATGGAGACTGGAAGATTGCCAAAAAGAGCACTAGATAGTAAAAGCAGGACGCAAGACCAGAAGAAAGGCCACGGAAAAGGTTGTAAAAATAAAGTGTCAGCAGAAGAGCAAAATTGTAGAGATTTATAGAATATTGATCTTTAAAAATATGTACGAAAAACGAATTTGTTGATGAATTTAATGCCAACAATAGTACTGACCGATATAGACTGACATTAGGCGTTCTTAGGTCTTACATGATGTGATTACAATATTATACATCAAATCAAGCATTCGTACATAACAATGACCAAAATATTTTGGTAAAATTAAAACATCTATATTTAGCAAAGGTCGGTTTGGTAGCTTGAACTGGATTGCTCATTTCTTTCTGAGTGGCATGGTGATAGTTTACCTCACTCCTACCAGTAATTTTTGAAATATCGTAGATAAATTTTATGCGGACCTACAGCTACGAATTGATGATAAATTGACATGAATAAATAGAAACAACTGCCGAAATAGACCAGGAAGGTCTCACTTATAATGATGATGACGAGTATCCGATCTGCATAGGACACGAACTAATGAAATTTTTAAGTACATACAAGCATAGATTAATATTAAACCAGCCTTTGATAGATGGGGCTACTTGATACCGAATTGGTTTCGGTGTTGATACTTGCCATTCATGACATGGCGTCTGTCAAAATTTTAAGTTTTAAAACCAATTAGTTTGGTTTTAACAGCCGCCAAAGTCAAGCAAATTTTGTGTTCTCGGAGAATTAGAAAAAGTCGAGTATTGTTCGGTGATTAAGTTCCTCCACAAAAAGGGTAAAACGAATGTGCAAATCAAAGCCGACCTGGACGAAGTTTATGGGAGGTTGCACCTTCGTTAGCAACAGAAAAATTTTGTAAAAAATTTGTTCGTGGCCGTACAAGTGTTTTTGATGAAGAGCGTCCCAGGAGGCCAAATGAAGTCACCACGCCGGAAATGATTAACAAAATCCATGACGTGATTATGGCAGACCGTCAAATTAAGCTTCACGAGTTAATAGAGGTCCTAAACATTTCCTACAAATGCGTACACAACATCATACACCATCATTTGGACATGAAAAAGCTATCCGCGCGATAGTTGCCGCGTTTGCTGACAATAGATCAAATACAAAAACGTGTGACCACTTCGGAGACGCTTTTGGCGATGATACCGCGCGATCCGATGGATTTCTTTCGCCAATGTATCACAGCTGATGAAACCTGGGTGCATTATTTTACACCGGAAACCCAAGAACAGTCGAAACACTGGCGCAAACCCGTCGAAGGACCGCCGAAGAAGGCAAAGAGTGCACATTCGGCTAGCAAAGTGATGGCGACTGTTTTCTGGGATGCAAAGGGCATCATCCACATCGACTACTTGAAAAAAGGAAAAACAATCAATGGTGAGTACTACGCAGCATTATTGGATCGATTCGATGCCGAACTGCGTCGGTTTGGAAGGCAAAAAAGTGCTCTTTCACTAAGAAAATGCACCGGTTCACCTATCGGCCGTCGTCATGGCAAAATGACACAAATTGGGCTATGAATTAACCCAATTTGATAAAAAAACTGGAACATCGTCTTACTAAGTGTGTCAAGCTGACAGGGGACTATGTTGAGTAATAAATCGATTTAATTCCAAACAACTTGTTTTTTCTGTCAAAGGCTAGTTTTATATCAATCCTTCCTCGTATAATATATTATCTTACCTATTAAAAATAATTCAGTAATAATCAGTAATAATCAACCAACTTAATTTAACTAAAAATTTATCGTGGTTGAAAAATGTCCCTTTTCCAATCTTCTCTATTAGAAAAGTATAATTTTATGTATTTTTCAGATATTGTACACCATAAAGAACAAAAATATTTGAAAACATTTCTTCGAATTTATAAAATTATTAAATGATAAAAACGTAATTTTTTTGATACTGTTTACCTTGTCTCAACAATTTAGTACTATTCAAAATGTACATTACAAATAAATATAACCTTTGTCAAAATATTTACAAAATATACACAATAATTTACTATATTACATAGTAATTTCATTCCTAATATTATCAGAAAATGTTATATATAGAATATATAGAATCAGAAATTCACGCAATATAGATGAAGTTTAAAACAGCCTTATTAAATTCGGGTCATACTAGATCAGAAAACGTGAAAAGGTCGTTAACATAACAAAACAATAAACATTTTAAATTAAAGTATACGAGTTTATTGGAACGATGTGGTAAAAGTAACTGTTCCGTTATTAAAGCAATCGATAAAAAGAAGTACGTACTGGTACTGGTTATTCTCGTATTTGCTATTTTCTATATTCTTTATTTAAGTGACGCTACTATTCAAGGAATACAAGGATAATTAAAGAATATGAATTACTATAGGATACTGTAGATCAAAGTTTTTAACTTTGATTACCTTTATATTTAAAACTCTCATTAAATTACAGCAATGCGATTAAACCAAATATGTACAAAAAGTATCCATTCTTAAGAAACCAATTATTATAAGGCGATATTTTATTAACTTATAGACGAAAATCACCCCTAAACCAACAAGGACTCCTTGGACGTGTTGTAAAATTTCTGATAAAATATTGCGTTTGAAACTTAGAAATAATCACATAATAAAACGGTTATCAAACCAATATTTTAGTGAAAAAGAAAACACATTATAACGTACTACAGATATTCTGATTTCAAAAGAATATTTTGAACTCTTGACTTAAACATTATGATGAACGATTATAAGTTTTCAGGAAGTAGAGATGGCCACAAATTCACTCAAAAATAGAAAGTCACCAGGACCAGACGGAATAAGCAACGAACTTCTAAAACACAGAGGAGAAAGCAGCAATGTTCAAGAAAGGAGATCCAGAAGATCCCAACAATTATAGAGGTATAAATCTACTAAGCATCGATGTAAAATGGAAATTGATGGGAAAATAATAAAGCAGGAAGCAAGGTTTAAATATCTGGGAATAGATATAACTATTAACGGAGATGTTTAAGAAGACGTACGACTACAAAGCGTAAAAGCAAGTAAAGTGACGGGATCTCTTAATGACCCAATCTGGAAGAACAAACACCTAAGACAAGATACAAAAACAAGAATTTATAAAGCAGCACTTAGACCTATATTAACATACACCGCGGAGACAAGTCCTGACACATCTAAAACGAGACGACTACTAGAAACAACAGAGATGAAAATACTCAACAGACGAATATCAGGAAAAAGTCTGTTAGATAGGGAGAGAAGCGAAAATATAAGAGCATGCAATATAGAAGACATAAATGGATTGGTGACAAAACGGAAACAGGAGTCGAATGACCACATCAGCGGAATGGGAGAGGACAACAAAGTACGAATAGTTCGAGATAAGTCACCAAATGGGCGAAGAAGTATTTGCAGGCCAAGAAAAATTTGGAGCGATAATTTAAACAATTTAGGAGGCTAATATTGAAGAAGCACAAGCTTTAAATCCTATATACAAGAACAAAAAAGAAGAATAAAATTACAAGAGATTAACATCACACTGATCCTTTAAAACTGCATGAAGAAGTAGACATGGACAATAATAAGACACAATAGACTATTGACGACTATTAGATATACTTTATCAATATTTAAAACGGAATCACTTGCATTAATACTGAATTATTACCTACTGAAGATGTCCCATAAAAACCCATTAGCATTTTAGAAATAGCAGCAGTAATGTCCAACAATTTACGGCCGGTAAACAGCGTTTAACAGCAAGTAATTGCTGATAACGAGACTGTTGCTACTCTTGCCAAAGAAGTAACTAGCACTTCTTTTATCAGATCAGAATCATTTTGCGGTATCTCAAAAAAACGCATCCCAGACGACTTCCGAAAATTGGAAAACAAAACTAGGAAAACGTTCCAGGTAAAAATAGAACAAAAAGTTTATTTTAAAGCAAATTTTAGCTCTACCCAGAAATACTCCTAGACCTTCAAAAAACTGAAGATTGCCACTCAAAAATTATTTCGGTAAAATGAGCAAAGTACAGCAACATGCACATTCTGCGAAAATGAGGAAAAACTACCGAAAATATTGGTCGAAGTTGACGAACAATTATTCCCTAACGCCAGAAATGCATGGAAAAGTAGCTATGAAATGGATAATGGGCTTTCCCGAAATATACACAAACATAAATACTTTTTATCAGTGTGGAAAATTAAGGAAGCTAGATGACTCCTTTGATATCTACAGTTAACATACAAGAACAAAGATGTATGATAAATTCAACAACTGGAAATTACTTTCTTGATAGTACTTGGAAAGGCTTTCCAAAAAATCGACTATATCAATATCCTGTTTCCTCGAATAATAAAAAATTATCGATCCTCAAAGTGATCTACAAGAATAACCGACTTCTAAATTCTAAATAAAAAAAGTAAAGGTTGTAAAAGCTAACAAATGATATGAAAAAAATTAAATTTTATGTTATAATTTAACGAGCTTTCCAATCCCAATCTGACAAACCCAATAATTGAAATATTATCTATCTCTCAAATTAAACGAAGTACGTCCTGGTCTGTGACGGAGCGTCCGGAATCGTTGAATAGACATGGTGTGGTACTTCGTTCCTGCAGGGCGGGTACTGACTGTACTGAGGAGGCCGCCCATCAATTGACACATAGCTATGGTTCAGTTGCTCAGAACCATAGTGTTGACTACTAGAACTAGAACCCGCTTCATCTTCGGTACTCCGCGCAGACTCGCCGGACACGTAAGTACTTTGGGTTGGAGTTGGGGTTAAAGCGACAGCGTGGACTCCCGGCATCGGTTGGTACTTGCACCAAGAGTCATGGGCCGTAGGAGCTGGAGTGTAGCGAGTGGGAGGTTTACACCTGATCTCCGTAGGAGGCTTCTTGTTCCTCCTGGCGGTAGAATTGTTAATAACATCAGGCATTGCATATCTTAATTTCTCCCAGAAACGGCGCTCTCCCCATCTGGTCACTGTGCAAGCTCTCAGAAGAGCTCTCAGTTCAGGATCCATGGGTTCAAGGGGATCGCCGCTGAGGATGCAGATAAGTTTTTGGCGATAAGTCGTTCTTAGAGCTGCTTGTAAAGCGGCTCTAAATTCTGGGCGGGACCATTCGTTGCAGATTAGCAGAGGAGATACTACGAATACTACTCTTCTGGAAGCGTCAGCTGCACCCACCATGGCGTCTGCCAGGTATGACGCGCCACCCATCAAATGGAGGTCTCTGGAATAAAATATATTTAATTAATAATGATTGTCTATTAAATAAATAAATTTACTATAAATAAACATATTCTCAAAAATTTGTAACAAGAATTGATAACTCCGAAATTTAACCTGTGTGCACCTTATTACTATTTATCAATAAGGCTGTAATAGAGAGTTCCTGTACAGATATATAAAGTCTAACAATACAATATATAAAACAATTGTTATTCATCAGTTCTTACATACTTTGCATTCTTTAGATAAGTGGCTAATAGGAAAAGCGATACCTGCGTCACCAGAAACCAACAATGATAAAATGGTTTAAAAACAAATTCTATTTAGGTATATCATTGATTAATAAATCAATTATTATTTTAGTCACAATATTTTTCAGTACTTGTTAGGAAAATATAAAGAAGAATAATTATAATGATACCAATCCCATAATAAAAATCTAATCTTTTATAGCATTTTGATTTTTAGCTAAGAAAGAGCATACTTTTTCATGACCAATTTGTTCTAAATTGGTGTTTTATACAGGGTTATTATGTTATGCTTCGATGTTATATTTTCTCTACCCTTTTGTATGGAGTTGAAGCTTGGACACTTAAAAAATCCAACATTAAAAACCTAGAAGCATTCGAAATGTGGTGTTACCGACGTATTTTGAAAATATCATGGATGGATCGCAAAACAAACGAACAAGTTCTCGAACAACTAGGAAAACAATGCGAAGTTTTAAATTCCATAAAGATCAGGAAATTGGAATACTTGGAGCACATAATGAGAGGTGAAAAGTACGAACTACTAAGGAATATAATGCAGGGTAAAATCAAAGGTAGAAGAAGCGTAGGAAGACGTAAAATCTCGTGGCTACGCAATCTCCGTGAATGGTTTGGATGCAGTTCATTTGAACTATTCAGGCGAGTAACCAATAAAATTATTATTGCCAGAATGATTTCCAATCTCCGATAGGAGTGGAACTTGAAGAAGAAGAACACAGGGTTATTTTCATGTATAATCTCATTTTATTAGTTTAAAAGGAACATGATTCAAAATGATACTAAACACGTGGAACTAAATTGTACAAATTTCAAGCAAATGAAAGAGAAATTTCCCTTATGTGCTTCTTTATTTCTTTCTTTATTCCGATTATACTCGATTTTAGTAATGAATGATTAGATACGTTCTTTTTTTCCTTTTAAAGAGTGTTCCAGGTCATCCATTTGTCTTCTTTCTCCTCCTGGACATTCTTTAGGGTTTTCAGATTCCAACTCTTAGACTCATTTGTCAATTTCTTCTGCCTGTGTTTTCAATTCAATTATGGAAATAGATTTCTAGATGTTTCTGCATTTTCTTGGTTCGCTCTTATTGCTTGGACTTTTAATTAATTTTTATCTGTTAATGCTTGATTTAGCAACACCCCCCTAACGATTCCTTACGCGCGCTGGTGGTGACAGCTGAGGTAAACGATCGTGACTCATATTTAAAGCGTAGGGTTTAAAAATGTAGACTGAGTATTAATCCTGGGAGTTCGCATGCTGTATTATACCCTCATAATGTATTCAACAACCCCTAAAAAATGGCCCAACTCAGATAATTTCACCAATATTTCCGTACGGATTATGCAGCATGCAAACTAGGAATAACAATTGGGAATGTTTTTAGCGTGGCATGTTTGGTATTTTTTTGGAAAAATAGAAAAATATACATATGGCGACCTAGTGTGGTGAATATCTGGAAATCCTCTTGTAAATTCAAAAAATAGATAAAGAACACTGCTAAAATCGTAGTGGAAGCCAGAAAGTAGGTCTTACTGATTTTATTTTGTGGAGGTTTTTATTCTAATCTATTGCAGTTGATATTTTTTTTATTTTTGTAAGTTGAAAAGTTTTTGAAGACTAAAAAATTTACGGTATGTGTACAAAAAGATCAAAATATGAATCAAAAAACAAAACAGCCAACAATATCCAAGGATACTGAAATACGGGATTATTTCCGACTGGAAACAGTGGAAACTATGGCCATGGAAGACATACAAAACAGTCGTAAATAGGATGTATATATACCCGGTATTTAGGTGGCATACGCCTTTCCGGTAGGGATTTATGAAGGAGTATCACCGAGCCGCAAGCCCTTATCTCTTGCCGTACTGCTCCACCATAGGCCGATCAGATACCAACATATTATATACTAAGCCGCAGATTTATTTAGAATTTTAAACTGCTTCGTTAGCCTTTTTGTTTTCTGTTCATTGAGCTGGGAATCGAACTCACATCTCTCGCAGTGAAGCTAATGAGAAACCAGCCGCCCAGGCCGCTTGGCTATCTGACCGACTGTAAATAGGATGAAGGATAATAAAAATGTTGGAGCCAACGTCTGTATTCGGAAATAATTATAATTCTTATGCAGCTTTTTAATGAAAATATGACAACAAAAGGAAATGGAAGCATGAAGAAGGATAATAAAAGTCCTTAACTATAATAGATAAGACATTGTCGGAGTATGGCAATGACAGAATCAATACTTTTCTAAAATATGTAACTTATAAGAGTCTTATCTGCCACTCTTTTTCGCTTTTGTAAAAACTCCTTCTCTATATCGATTTCAAACTTTACCATTCAATAATAAAACTACATCTCTATTCATCTCAAATTCTGAAAAGATACTTAGATTTATCAAAATGTAATGAAGATAGCCTATTTACAATACAGAACACAACAAACACAACACTATTAGCATACAACCACTATAAACGAATCCTTTAGTTACAAAAAAAAGGGAACACTGGCAAAATTTCTCAAAACAAATGGAGCACGACTCCTATGAAACACAAAAAGAAATATAGAAAATAATCAGCGGACACAGAAAAATAATAAAAACAAAACACATTCAGAAGCAACAATGGACAGACTACTTTCGATCCCTATTTGTTAAAAGCGATGATAATGAACCATCAAAACCAGAAGAGATGGTGAACGAAGAAATAAATATTCAGGAGGAAGAGGTAAAAAAGAAGAGGGAAAGGTTTAAGCAAATTGAAAAACATAACATCATCGGGAGAGGACCGAATTCTCAGCTTATAATTAACCCTAAATAATTAAAAGTCTTATAACTCTTCTTCTTGTTATGGTGCCCTATCCAATTAGCGGATCGATCTTGTGTGGCTCTAAAGAGTGCATGGGCATCGAGGTTTGTCCAATCCCTTATGTTTTTAAGCCATGAGTATTTCTTTCTTCTGATGCCCCGGTTTCCTTCTATCTTCCCTTCCATAATAAACTTTAAGAAGTCGTACTTGGAATTTCGAAATATTTAACCCAGATAAGCATTTTTTCTTCTTTTTTTTATTAGCAGCCATTTTCGTTCTATGCCCATTCGATTTAATACTTCGACATTTGTTGTGTGATCTCTCCAGGCTTTTATGGTTCAGATTTCCACACCATATAGCAGTATGGAGTAAATGTCACATTTTACAAAGCGATATCGAAGCGTTAAGTTAAGGCTGCTGTTGCTTAGCAAGGTTTTCATATTAGTAAATGTTGTTCTGGCTTGCTCAATCCTGCTACGTCTGGATCTAGATCTTCAGTTATCCATCTACTGAGATATCTGAACTTGGGGACTTTTTGGATGTTCTTATTGTTTACTCAAACTCTTCTGCTAAACGTAAGTTTATATCTGAAACCTCTAATCCAACACAAAATCCAAATATTCGATTGTACAGCCGAATTCGGTTGGCGATAGATTAGCATCATAAGTGAAGCATTATCCAATTGACAATCCATTGTGAATCTTGTCCTGCTCACAAACAAGTCGTCACTCCTGTCGATTCCTGGCAACCTCCCTCCATTTTCTGACCCTTAGAATATGTAGGTTTTCTTCCACATCATCAATCCATCTCCTTTGTGGTCATCCTCTGCTTCTTGTGCTCTCTGGTTTTGAAAATGTTAATTTCTTCGTGTATTCATGATCTGCCATCCTAGCAATGTGTCCAGCTCATCTAAGTGTCTGCCCAAATTTCACAATATCTGGATCGGTGCATAACTGACATAGTTTAAAGTTGTATCTTCATACATACGGCTCCAAAAATCTTTCTAAGAATTTTTTTCTCAAAATAAATCTCTCAAAATATATCTTTGGTAATAGATCACATTCCTGTTTAAGGTCTTTTCTTATGGTAGCTAATTGTTTTTGTTACTTAAATGTCAATCAGAATTAAAGACTTCTTGTATAAGGTGAGGTTAGGTTAGGTGGACAGCAAATAGAGAGAGTGACAAAATATAAATATCTGGGAGCTTACATCAACACAGAATTAGATCCAGATCAAGAGATCCAGATACGAATAGAAATGGCAAGGGCAGCATTCTTAAAATTCAAACAATTGTTCTGTGACAAAAATCTGAATATTGCGCTGAGACTGAGGTTTGTTGAATGTTACGTCTGGTCGCAATTATTGTACGGGGTAGAAACATGGACACTAAAAGCGCAAATAGTTAAAAAGATTGAAGCCTTTGAACTTTGGATATACCGGAGAATGTTGAGAATCCCGTGGACTGCCAGGGTCACCAATGAGGAGGTGCTGAGAAGAATGGGTCGAGTCAAAAAAATTGTTGAGAACGATAAAAGTACGCAAGACTGCATACCTTGGACACATACTAAGAAATAATAAATATAGCCTTCTGCAGGTCATCATGCAGGGTAGAGTCGATGGCAAAAAGGGAATAGGTAGAAAAAGGAAGTCATGGCTGCGAAATATTCGAGACTGGACAAACATGACTGTAGACGAATTATTCCACGTTGCAAAAGACAGAGAAGCTTTTAAAAATGTGGTCGCCAACCTCCGTTAATGGGGACGGCATAGCAAGAAGAAGAATAAGGTGAAAGAAAGAAGATGAGATGACTGCCAAGAAAAACTTTGTTGAAACAAGTCATGAAGAATCTGAAAAAGCCAGAAAAAGAAGAGAAGTAACGAAGCATTTTTACAGTGAAAAATGTGTTTTAAAAAAGAAGTAAACTTGT